ACAAAATAAAGGCTTTTTTGAAAGAGTGGAAATTTGCATATGTAACCCTTACCACCATCCATCGCTACAGTTTTTCACACTTTCCAACTAAAACTCTGCAGCTGTTGACCACTCACTTGACATCTTTCCTCCCCTCACACCTTGACAAGTGCCGTTCTACTTTCTGTCTCTAGGAATTTGATTCCAAGTGTTTCACATAAATGATATCAAAGTGTTCTTCTACAGCTGGCATTTCACTGTGTATAATGTATTTAAAATTTATCTGTATTGTAGCATGTGCCAGAATGTCATGCCTAAGGCTGAGTAAAATTCATACACAAATACGTATACATACATTTGAATAAACATTCTGTTTATCCATTCATCTGTCAACTTCCATACTCCATGTGAATTTATCTTGCCCTATCCCATCTTTTTTTTTTTTTTTTTCTGAGACAGGGTTTCTCTGTGTAGCTTTGGCGCCTTTCCTGGAACTCACTCTGTAGCCCAGGCTGGCCTCAAACTCACAGAGATCCGCCTGCCTCTGCCTCCCAAGTGCTTGGATTAAAGGCATGCGCCACCACCACTCGGCTGCCCTATCCCAGTTTTATCATAAAAAACAAATGATCATTTGTACCAGGACACAGGACATAAAGTCTAGTCACTTTCATTATACTTTTCAGATGCTCATGGAAAATCTATAACCTCAACAATTTTATTTGTATAAATGGTTAATGAGGGGCTGGGGTGATGGCTCAGTTGGTAAACTGTTTGCCTTGCAAGCATAAGGATCTGAGTTTGATCCTTAGAAAACACATAAAAAGCCAGGCATAGCAGTACATGCCTGGGATCCAGCACCAGGGAAGCAGAAGGTCCCTGAGGTTTACCCACCAGCTAGGCTAATGGAAATGACAATCTCCAGGTTCAGTGAGGGATTCAGCATCAGATAGATCAATAGATCAATAGATCAGTAGATAGATAGGTAGAAAGGTAGATAGATAATAGATGACTGATAGATAGATAGATAGATAGATAGATAGATAGATAGATAGATAGATAGATAGATGAGATGACAAATGAAAGGTGGCAAGCAATGGAGGAAAACACTCAATACTGACCTCTGACCTCCATGAGTATACAAACACATGTATGTGCACCCTCACACACATGTACACACACATCCACACAAAACAGTAACTAATAAAACCACTCATGCACAAAGGTATAGGATCGCATGCTTGCTTTCATAAGTGAATCATGACTTCTTGATAATTTCCTCAAATTCTAATATACATGTGTCTGCCCTTACACAATCCACAAGAGAAGTGGAAAAGTGTTTTCCCACATACCTTGAAAATAAGTCTCACCATTTCAGAATTCCATAACACTCATAGAATGGGAAATAATCAACTCCAAACAGCACATACCTGTTTCTAAGTGGAGATGGTGTTATTATAAGAACTGTATTGAACAAGTGATCACACAATTTGACACAAAATAAAGTCCTTTACCTTTGTCATACGTGTGTATCACATGCAGACAGGCAGGCACACATGCTTGCATACTCCATCTGCTGTTTCATAGTATGAAGTTGGCCCAGTCCATTGTGAAGCATCTGGGAAGAACTCAAGACATGAACATGGAAAAAGACATATTTCTGACTCATGGAATTCTAGATCTAGGTCACAGCCTACTCATGCAGAAAAAGAGTCCCTTCCCACATTGCTGTGTGGGTACCACCTGTCACTTAAAACAATGACAGCATGTACTTGGTGCCGGGCACCGTGTTGAGTGTCTTATGTGTGTCCTTTCTTTTAATCCTCATGGCTCTGGTGAAAGTGTTTCTCTTATTCCCTCCTTTTTCCTGCATCAACCTGCAAGGTACCACAACTTTCCACTGCCAAAGGGGTGAGACAAGATCTTAGCCTGCCAGTCTTAGACAATACCTTCTTCATCACCTCAATGTTCTGCTGCCTCCTAGTGCTATGGACAGGCCTCCACACACCAGCACCACGCTGGTGTTGGTTAAAATGCAGGTTTGCAGAAATCTCCCAGGTGTACTACTTCAGAAGTCTATAAACATGGAGCTTTCAGTATGGTTCACAAAGAGAAGACAGAGGGAGGTCTTCAACAGAAGCAATGATGCATCTAACAAAACGTATCTGAGAGTCGAGATATTTTATACAGTCTGCTGTGGTAATCCCGAAGAAATAGTAACATTTCCTGATGGCATCTGTGAGACTACAGCAAGGTCACCTTCTAAGAGCACAATGAGAACAAGTGCTACCATCACCTTTATGTTTTTAAAGATAATTTGTTGTCTTTCGTGTATAATTCATGAATTTTGACAAATATATTCAATTGTGTGTCCACCACCAAAATTAAGATACAAAATACCCCTACCTAAAAAAATTCCTGTGCCCCTTTGCAATCAACACCCAACTCTAGGCTATAGCAGCCATGTCTGTGTCTTCTGCACTGACATGCTTGCATTCTCCAGGATATCCTGCAAATGGAATCACACAATACATTGTATTTTGCATCTGGCTTCTTGGACTTAAAGTACTTGACATTCAGTAAATATCCTTTGTATTGCTGCAAAGTAATCCATGATGTAGATGTACCACAATTATGTATCAATTTACCAGTCAGAGGGCATTTGGGTTGTTTCCATTATTTTTGATATAGGAATGAAGCCGCCATAAGGATTTACATATGTGTTGTGTATGAACATGAATTTTCATTTTTCTTGGGCAAGCTAACAGTGAGATTTCTAGATCAAATGTGAAATGTGTATTTCCTTACAAGAAAACTTCCCATTTTCAAAGCATCTATATCAGCTTAATTCATACTAAGAATATGTGTGTTGGGAAACCCAAATCCTTCTCAGCATTTGGTTTATTCACTCTATTTCAGTGATTCTGATCTTATATATTGTTATCTTTTGCTATTATTATTTTGTTTCACATTTTCCTAATGGCTAATAATATTAAGCACCTTTCCAGGTACTATTTGTCTTCTTTGATGAAGTATCTATTCAAATTTTTATGTTTTTAAATGAAATCGTCATTTTCAACTGCCATTTGGAGGCTTTTATTGTTCCAAAAAAGTCCTTTATCACTAGGATTTTGTAGACATTGCCTTGCAGTTTGTGGATTACATTTTCATTCTCTTAACACTGTCCAAAACAGCCTTGATTTTGTAATTGTTTTACAGATTATAAAAGCCTACAGTGCAGTTAGAGAACTGGTCAGACTTAGAAACCACCTGCTCTCAAGCATGAGAGCGTGAGTTCAATCTCACACAAACTTTTAAAAATTTAGAGCAGAATCTGTAAGAAAGAGCAGATCACAGTAAAAGTTTCTGTGCATGCAATTTACAATAAATGATATAGCCACCCAGGTGTGATGGTTCATGCCTGTATCCCAATACCCAATAGGCTGTGACAGGAAGACTGCCATTAGATTTGAGGACAGACTGTACTACATAGCAAGTTCCAGGCCAGTCTGGGATACAAACTAAAACCCTGTCTCAAAAAAAAAAAAGTTACATCTAACTGAATTAATTTATTTGTGTGCTGGAGAGGTCAGGAGGACCTCAGATATGCTAAGTCTACCACTGACCTAGACCCACTCCCCCGCAACCCCTGATGGATTTTATTATTTGCTATATAAATCATGTTGCAAAATTTATAATTTATAAGTTTCACTGATGGTTACTTTTCCTGATGCTGTGACCAAATATCTAATAGAAAGCAACTTACAGGTTGAAAAGTTTATATTGACTCATAATCTGAGAGGGCAGAATCACGGCAGAGGAGGGACTGTGAGGCAGCTGGTCACTCAGTGTCACCTCCAGAAGCAGAAATAAATGATGGTGCTGTGCTTCTTACCTCTCCCTTTGTACTCAGGCTGGGAATCCAGACCAGGATGGTGCTGTGCCCACACTCAACGTGGTTCTTCCTCCCCCAGCTATACCCCTCTGGAAACACCCTCACGGCCCACTAAGAAGCATGTCTCCTAGGTGACTCCTAATCCAATTAAACTGACAGTGAAGATAACCATCACACTTTCATTTTAAATACGGATTTTTTTTTCTCTCTCTTTCACTGTGTAGTCCTGGCTGGCTTAGAACTTGCTTTGTAGAGCAGGCTGGCCTCAAACTCACAAAGATCTGCCTGCTTCTGCCTCCAAGTGCTAGGATCAAAGGTATGCATCACCGCACCCGGCTCCTTTGTCCATTTTTAAATCAGTATGTTTGTTTTTGTACATTAGGGTTGAGTTTGTTACATGTTTTAGATATCAGTCCCTTCTTGGGTGTACAGTTTGCAAATATTTTCTCTCAGTGTGTGTGATGTCTCTTTGCTCTGATTATAAAACTTTTCAGTCTTATATAATCCCATTTCTTTATCCTCTGTGTTTTTCTTCAGTGGTTTTACAGTATTGAATCTTGTATTTGAGTCTTTATTTCTACTTGACTTCTATATTTGGTGTGTGATGAGGGTCAAATTTCATTCTTCCATATGTAGTATTTTCTTGACATCAATTTATTGAAGACACTGACCTTTTTCCACTGTGTGTTTTTTATGCTCCTTGTTGAAAAATCAGTTCACTGTAACTGTGGTGGTTATTTCTAGGCTTTTGGTCCTGTTCTGATGGCTGATGTGTCTGCTTTTGTACCAGTACTATGGTGTTTTCACTGTAATAGTTTTGTAACACATTTCCAAATCAAGGAGTGTAGTGACCTTCATGGCTTTTCATCACAGAAAAATATGCAGACAATGGTAATACAGTGTTGATAGGGAAAGGTGTGGAGGAGGCCTGTTCTTGGTGGCACAGATCTGTCATCCCAACTACTTGGGAGGCTGAAATGGGAGGATTGCTAGTTCAGTGCTTGCCATGTGAGTTCAAAGTGAGCCTGGACCACTTAATGAAACCCTGACACAAAATTTAAAAAAAAAAAATATTAAACATAGCTCAGTGGTAGAACATTTATTTGCCTAACACATAAAAGAGTCCTAGCCCCAGTAGAAAAAAGAGGGAAGAATGCTGTCTTTTTATAAAATCTGTCAAGGAAGCAATATGAGGTTTGAAGAACTTTTAAGCAGTGGTGTGCACTGACCAGCCGGCTCTGGGAACACAAGGCAGTCAGTCCAGTGGTGACGAGTTGCAGGTCCCAGGCTGTAAGAATGCCAGGAAACAGCCCATGCAGAGGCTGTCACTTAGAGAGTCAAAAGCTCTCAAGACACACCGTCAGGTTTTGTTTTATTTGCTTTGGTTTTTAAACAAACGAGAGGGTGTAAAGATGAGTTTTGCCTTTGAGCACAGCATAATCTGTAAGAACTGACAGGCACTTGAAGGAGCATGTTGCCGCCGCCTCCCAGCATGGCCGGCCACTGTGCTTACACAGTCCCTGAGTAGTCTGCTCTGTTCCTGATGGAGAAGGAGCTCCAAGTCAGAATCTGCACCATGGCGATGCCCAGCGGGACCACACAAACCAAACTAAACATGGTGTCTTGAAGATCTAAAAGTATTCTAGGGGAGAAGACGCACAACAGTTAATTTTCCCCCAGCAGCTTCTTTTCTTATTAATTCAAAGCTATTTAACACATGGTATTCAGTGACACTTTTACCTACTAGCTCATTTAACAAGAAAGAGACATTGTGTTGTGTGACTTTGATCCTTTCAAGCACCTGAGTAATTTCTTCCTTCCAGATGCACATAGGAAAGGAAGGGGACATGTGAACTTGTGATTACAGTCCCTGCTGACAACTGTTGCCTCTGTGACACAGAACCACATGCCATGGGTGGGTGGACAGAGAACAGAGTCCAGGCACGAAGCAGACTTTCAGTGGACCCGCAGGCTAGGCATGGTAGTGTATGCTTGCAATCCCAGCCCTCAGGAAGATGAGGCAGGAAAACTGTGGGTTTGAAGCTAGCCTGGGCTACATAGGCAGTCCCGGGCCAACCTAGGACTGACTGGGCCTGACAGTCCAGTTGCTCACAGCTCCTGGAAAGCTGAGGCAAGAGGATTGAAAGTTCAAGGTCTGTCTAAGCTACAGAGATATATGCATCCTTGAAGGCCTTCAGTCTTGAAATATCTGCCAAGCTTTAAAAAGTGGGTGGGTTTGGACATTCGTTTCTAGTACATATGATGGCTATAAAAGTGTTATGGTGGAATTTCTCAGGGTGACAGACAAGAACCCTCTGTCAGAAGGTTTACCTATTCTTGGCAAGTGGAGTCTAGAAAAGGCTTCTCAGGCCGGGCGGTGGTGGCGCACGCCTTTAATCCCAGCACTCGGGAGGCAGAGCCAGGCGAATCTCTGTGAGTTCGAGGCCAGGCTGGGCTACCAAGTGAGCTCCAGGAAAAGGCGCAAAGCTACACAGAGAAACCCTGTCTCGAAAAACCAAAAAAAAAAAAAAAAAAAAAAAAAAGGCTTCTCAGAAAAAGCATATAAACAGTTCTGAAAAAATGCAAACATGTCAGCTAGAAGGCTTCTGTCTGGAATCATATGCAAACATTCCAGCCATATCTCCCTCCCCTCTAAAAGCCTTGCCATGAAATGTTCTTGATACTCTGGTCTGGTTACATTTGTGAGGTGTGGCTATCCCTCTGAATCCTCACTCATTAAACCTGCCCTTCACTTCGACTCCTACATGGTCCAATAATTGACTGCTACCCACCCACTTCCAGTTTTCCTCTGCTTCTTCCAGGGTACTGAGACAATCACCAGCACCAAGGGCAGCAGCTGAGACTACTCACTGCATCCAGACAGTGGGCTTATTGCTGCTCTGCCCAAATGCGCTGTGGGAAACTTCATTTCCAGAAGCATGTGGTATTTTGTTGTTCCAGAATTCCCTCATTTGAGAAAAATCCTCTGTGGAGTCAAGAACCGAGGGCTAAATGCAGAAACTCAAGGCTGTTCTCCCAGTTTCAGACTTCAAGTGATGTAACTTAATTTTATAATGATTACATTTCAAACCAACAAAAATGTAGAAATTAATGTAAAAAATACACTATACCCAGGTATAATAAATACCAAAAATAAAATACAATTGATGAATTTTAAAAAAAATCCTCTTGGGCTGGAGCGATGGCTCAGCTGTTAAAGGCTAGGCTTACAATCAAAAATAAATATAAGAAAAATCCTCTCCCCTCTTCCATAGGAGACCTGTCTCTGGCCTTAGGACTTGGTGGGAGGGACTGGAGAGATGGCTTAGTGGTTAAGAGCACTGGCTGTTCTTCCAGAGGACCTGAGTTCAATTCCCAGCACCCACATGGCAGCTCACAACTGTCTGTAACTCCAGTTCCAAAAAATCTGACACCCTCACACAGACACACATGCAGGCAAAACACCAATGCATATAAAATAAAAATAAATCAATGATTGAAAAAAAAAAAAAAAGACTTGGTGGGACCTAACTGCCCTACCCCAACCCCAACATCCAGATTTTCTTTTTTTCTTTTCTTTTTTTAATTTTTCAAGACAGGGTTTCTCTGTGTAGTTTTGGTGCCTGTCCTGGATCTCCCTCTGTAGACTAGGCTGGCCTCAAATTCACAAAGATATGCCTGGCTCTGCCTCCCGAGTGCTGGGATTAAAGGCGTGCACCACCACCGCCTGGCCCAACATACAGATATTATCCAAATCTCATCAGAGGAAGTTATGGCTATGTGATCACTCCTGCCTCAGTGATAGGCATGTGACTCACATGGTGCCTTCCAGGATCTGCCTGGGGACTTTGGATGTGCTACTGGGTCAAAGGTGCATATTTATTCACAGCCTGTAAACCTGGGAGCTGTGTTGCTACCGAGTGGTAAAAGCTTGAAGCCTAAACAGAGAGGTCAAAGGCTCCTGACATCATTTGAGATCCAGCTTTACTGGACTTTTCACACATCACCAGGAGGTCCCTGTTCTATTGAGGCTAGCCTGCACTACATTTCTGCCACTTGTAGCCACAGTGGCCTGAAACCATGCCTTTCCAGCTGGCACTTACGCCCACATTACTATAAATTAGCTGCTTTGATCATGCTGGGTGAAGGTGGTATGTAATTGGCCACAACCAATTAAGACAAAGAGGTTTGAAACAGCTGAGCACAGATTGCCAGAATGAGAGAGCACGAGGTCATGACTGCGCTTTTGAACTTGAGGCTGTGGGTGCTTATAAACGTGAGGCATCACTTGCCAGCCTTGACTGTTCATTGATTTGAGCCACATGACACAGTAGATGGGAGACAATGGGTGCAAAACGCCAAGAGGTAATGGAAACCTAATTCCACTTTGAAATAGAGTCATGTCTCTAATAAAAGAGAGAAGGGAAGTGGCCTAATCAAGCCTTTAGAGAGGGGGGCACAGCAAAGAGCTGCTTGCTAGCCGCAGAATTATTACAATATGTGCTTTATGAAAAGGCTGGTTTCTGCTTGGCAGAGGCACACCTCTGTGTTCTGATCTCAGTGTTTCATTAGCAACAGGAGCCCATTATTCTTCAGCATTCTCTAGCTATAACAGATTCCAGCTTCAGAAATATCAAGAAATTGGACTCCAGCTGCCAGGGGCTCTCTCTGGGAGATTTTCCACCTCTCTGAAGGAACTGTCTTTTTTTTTTCTTCTCCTGTTTCCCTGGAGAGAAGGGTCTGGAGAACACCTGTGATGATTTGCAGAATCGAAGCCTCTCGTGAGCATGCTGACTTGGGCTCAGAAAGGCTGGAGGGATGGCTCTGCAGGTAATAAGTACGTGCTTGTCAAGCATGGGGACCTGAGTTTGCACGCCAGCACCATGTAAAAATGAACAAAAAAGCTGGGCATAGCTACTCACACCTGTAGCCCAGTGCTGAGGCTTGGGGGTGAGGTGGATGGATGAGGCTTTCCGGCTGCCAGTCTGAGGTCAGGTTTAATGAGAAGCTCTGTCTCAAAGCAGTACTGAGTGATATAGAAAGACAGCCAACATCCTCCTCTGGCCTTCATGCATGTGTACCTACATATGCACATGCATGTAACACACACACACACACACACACACACACACACACACACACACACACACACATACCCCTTAGGCAACATGCACAAAGGCAGCAGAGGAACAAGCATTCCAATGAATCTAACAACCTGGCAACTACCCTGCTGGGGGTCTATGAGCACACCTGAGCTTTTCTTGCAATCACTGAATGGCTTCACAATTCCCAAAGTACCTGTGAGTTTCCCATTACCTCACAGGCTGTCTCTAAGCTCTTCAAAGATTTGTCTTTCAGGTTCTTTTATTTTCTCAAAACAGGGTTTTTCTGCAGCTAGCCTGGAGCTTGCTACATAGATCAGACTGCCTCAAACTTGGGGCAATCCTTCTGGGATAACAGGCATCCACCATGCCTGGCTTCTTCTACTTTCTCAAGATTTCTTCTTTCTCCTGGAAGTTTATTCCAAGTCAAGGACATGATTTTAGAGAATTTATTCTCCTCTCCCTACTGGAATATGGATTTTTTTAACCCATTGACTAATTAGGCTAGTTTGCTGTTGGAATGACCTCACCTCTCATTTCCTACTAACTGTAGTGGTTTGAATGAAAGTGCCCCCCACCCACCCACCGGCTCATATATTTGAAGGTCTGTTTCCCAGTTAGTTGGTGGACTGTCAGAAAGGATTGAGAGGTGTGGCCTTGTTGAAGGAGGTGTGTCAGTGGTGGTGTCTGAAGTTTCAAAAGCCCAGGCCAGGTCCAGTGCTTGCTCTCTGCCTCCATCTTGCAGATCAGACGTAAGCTCTCAGCTACTGCTCCAGCACCATGCCTGCCTGCTTGCTGCCATGCTCCTTACCATGTTGATCATGGACTCACCCTCTGAAACTGTAAGCCAGTCCCCAAATAAATGCTTCCTTTTATGAGTTGCCTTGGTCATGGAGTCTCTTCACAGCGATAGAACAGTAAGTAAGATATCAACATTTTGAATGAATCTCCAGCATAAAAAAATAATTCTTAAGGCAGGCAAGATGGTTCAATGAGCCACATTTGATCCTGGGAACACACACAGTAGAAAGGCAGAACTGACTCCCACACGTTGTCCTCTAACCTCTACACTTACACCATGGCACACGTACTCATTCATTAATTCATTCATTTATTCATTCATAAGCTGTGTTTATGCTTTTTTTTCACCAAATATTTACAGCACATTTGCTGCATTAGGTTCTTGGGATGCAGAGCAAATAATCTTGGCACTCAACAAGCCTTACCTTCTAGCAGAAGCAAAGAAACCATAAACAAATGTACTTAATTTTAGAATATAATTATGAAATTTCTCTTCTCCTTATGAGAAAATTTCATGGGCTCCATTTTCTTTCATGATTTTCTCCTTTCAAAAGCGAAAAATAACTACCTAACTATAGCTAATAATATCCCAAATATCACCATCTGGTACACCTTATTTTCTTAACTTACACCTGCTAAGCCATTTGCAAAGTCAGTTCTATGAAGTAAAGGGGGTATAATACATGTTGTCATACTGGCACCTCAAATTCTATTACACTTAGACTCTCCCTAATCACAA